GCGGATGAAAATATTTCTGCTTTTCGAAAACGCAATAATTCATGTAAGTGCATTTTATTTTTCCTTGTTCTTTTTTGTAGAATTTATGTTCATTGGTTCTTTAGTATGAATTTCTGTCGTTATTGTTGTTTTTTTAAATTGTTTGAAATTTATTTTAGTTTATTTTTTATTTGGGTCTAACTGTACAATTCGTAATGTTTTTTAAAGTTGAAACAGAACTCTGTGTACATGGTATTATTTGAAAATTTATTGGTGTTATGTTATTTTATTAAAGCGAGGAGTGCAAAGATCGTAGATTCCTTCCTTGCCTAAATTGTGCAATTCGTAGAATTTTTTTAAAGTTAAAACGGATGCTGTTAATGGTATTCTTTGAAATTTATTGTTGTTATGTTAATTTATAAAGCGAGTCTGCGTAGTTTGTAGATTCATTCGTTGCCTACATTGTGCAATTCGTAGATTTTTTTTAAGTTAAAAAAACATGTCGATGTGTACATGGATTCTTTTCAAATATTTTTGGTTAGAAACTTTACGTTTTTGCTATCTAAATTTTTTGTTTTTGTTTCGGATTTTTGCTAAATTGTGTGTTCAAAACGTAGTTTTTGCATGTACAAAAACCGTGTTTTTGGAGACATTTTAGGCTAAAAGTTCAAGATGTAGACAAAAAATTTAGATAGTAATATGGCAGCGTGAAGTTTCTCGCCAAAAATATTTGGCGACTTGAGGGCGCATATCATAGTAGTTCCATAAAAATCAGTATTTAAAATCACTGAAGTATTGCTTTGTTAATAACATTTGCATGTTTATGGTAAACATAGATGGTTTGGCAATCTTTTGCCAACATTGCACCTGATCAGTAATTTTTATTGTTATGCTCAGTACTTTTCAGATGTAATTTTATAACTGTGTTAACACGCATATGCATATATAAAACAGAAGCATGCAAATATAAATCATAAAACAAGGCAAGATTTTTTAATCAGATGCAAAACAGAGGAAGAATGATCTTGCAATAGTCTTCTTCAAAGAAATGAAATACAGTCAAAAGTCGTTAATTCGGACTCACATAATCCGGAATGATCTATAATCCGGACCTCAAAGCTAAAAACTTTCTGCGCATGCGACGCGTTGGCACAGGCGTTTTACGCGTGCGCGTAAGACCTTGACTACTGCGCATATGCGTGTGCGCAAGTGCAGAATACGTTTTCGCCTGCGCGTTTAATGTATAACGGACGGTATAAGCTAAAATTATCTAATTATCTATTTCAGTTAATGTTGATGATTGTGTTTGTTCCTTAATCTTCGAATTGGATCCCGCTTATTATTTTTTGCAGACTGTAAGAGCAATTTTATAAAAGTAAACTTGAACTTTCGATTATGTCAAATAGAATTTCCGATGCTGGAGCTTCAAAGGATCTACAAAACGAAAGTATGTTTCGATGTCCAACAACAAAAAGTGGAATTGCTGCATAAAATGGATAAAGACATGAAGAATGTGACAGAGAGGTTAGTGAAAATGAAAAAATTTCGATTGACAAGTTAGTCGGTATTCTCGGCACAGCAATTAACGGGACTTGAACAGCGGAACTTTGTAACTGAACAAGAAATTATGTCTTTTTATAGAATTAAAGAGAAAGTATTATCACATAAAATGAAGCAACTTAAACAACTTACATTGAGAGAAATGTTTATAAGTAAACAAATAAATATTAAGCTTTTTTTTTTTTTTTTTTTGGTTGATCTTTACATTATGGTAACTTGGTGATTTTTTTTTGCGAAATTTGGCGACCAACTCTCCTACAGCAACCCTCTATTTTTTTCCCGTCGCCATTTTGTCTTCACGAAGTAAAGACATGTTTCTTTTCTTTTATCTACTGAACACTTCTTCCAACAATCTACTAGCCGAATTACACTTTTGCTAGAAATTTTATCAAACAAAACTGCTTAATATGACAAATATTCACTGCAAAATTGGGAAAAAGTGCACAATACCATCCTCCTTAAGCGTTTTTCAAAATAACACATACACATAAACCATGTACACGCCGACTTATTTTTACTTTAAAAAAATCCCAGAATTGCACAAAAATGGCATTGTGCACACTCTTCACTATATCCATGTACACTGCTTTTTTCTCATAAATTAGAAAAATTTCACGAAAATGACACTTTTCTCAATCTTTAAACCCGGTAAAAAGAACATACATGAAATTACCTGATCGCGAAAAAGTATTTACCCTTTCCAAATATGAGCATTTCCACATATAAAATAAATAAAATATCCAAAACTTTTACCTCTAAATCACCTATTATATTATAAATGTCACCAACGAATTTCATACCGCAACAATTACAAATAATTAGTGTCAGATATTTAATTGTTTCCATGCACGTTTACTTCACCTAAAACATATACCAAATTCCTACAAACATAAAATTCACAAAATAACTATATTTAATTAAAATATAATTAAATTCAAAAACACTACTTAAAATATAAATGAGCACATACATTAAATTAATAAAAAATTACCTTACAATCCTAATTACTTTAAACTAAATCATTGCTAATAACAATTTCCCAATAATACCAAATTCCTTACTTCCACCTTACATTTAGAACAATGCATAAAAATAATATCCTCAAATAATTAAAAATACTAACTTAACCTATCTTCTTCAGAATCTTGATTACGTGTCTGATACACTTTTCTTCTTCTGTTTCAGTATCTTTAAAATCATACTTATATTTCACAGCGAGATACCAGGTAAAATAAATAACATAATAAAAACATCTTTATTTCTCTCTCGCACAACCTTAAAGAAAACATTTATTACTACCTTTTCAATACCACTAAATAGCCATTTCGAATTCACTTTAGTTACGGCCATGGATCCAAAAATTAACAAACACTGTTCACACAACACAGAATAAAGCAAATACAAAATTTCCAGATTTTTCCTGATTAAAGAACAGTAATTCGTCCATTAATATCACATGACATATCCCATGATCTCTCATTTCCCTCACACAAAATAATGCGTAATCGGAACTGAGTACTGCTCACATTATTACCAAAGTCTCACGTAGAAACCTTTATCGCCTCCAAAATGTCGCCAAACTACCAGTTACCATATTGTAAAGATCAACCTTTTTTTTTTTTGTAAATTTTGATACCCTTTAGATCATAATTGTTCTTTATTTCATAAATTACGGTTTCATATTTTTAATTTTAGAATTTCTGCATGCCATCTTACGAGATTTAAACTGATGATCTATAATGCGGAATCGCCGAAGTCCCGACGAGTCCGGATTAACGACTTTTGACTGTATATTAAATAACAAAAACAATAAATATTAAAATAGTAGTAGATACTAAAATTAATATTTTTAATTAAAATGTAGCATCAAAAAATAGAATGATGTTATACAGCAGAAAATATTTTTGGTACTTACATACTATTGCTACGACCTTAGTATAAGTAGGCCTATTTTCATAATGTGCTATATGCTAGTAACCATGCATAAAACAATTCTTCAGTTCAGCTGCCATTTTTATATACTTGAATGATCATGCTGATGTGAAGACTAAGTTTGTGTCTTTTTTTTTTCGGGGGGGGGGGAGTGAAAACAGATCACTGTGTACATGGGAAGAATGTATGTATGTGAAGGAACCTTATTTGATAATCAAAAATTTTAATTGATAAGGTGTATTTTTTGATATGGTGATAACTTCAGATAAATACCTATAGTTTTGCTACTTTTTAAAGGAAAGTCACCAGAATCGCTTCTTTGCACCCGATAAGCAACTTTTACTGAACTAAATAACATGTTAATGTCATAATTTCTTTCTTCTGTCAAAAGTTGCCAAACTGCACGAAGGTTGTTGCCTTAATATATTAAGTACTAAATTTTGGAAGCACTTCCGCAGAGAACAGGGTAAATGTAAATATCGCCAAATTTGGTGATAATAGTTCAAACCTGGTCACCCAGTGGATTCACCCTATTCGCTTGTTCGAAGGTTGCAACCATTCCTCTTGCATTCATTTTGTTGAATTATCACTGTCATTGTTCGCATTTGTAGATTTATATTATTCTTCTCTTATTTATTATTATTTTTTCTGAATTTTTTAACAACAAATAGATAGAAATATTTTCATATAATTAAAGAAGTTTTCGTAGCCGTTTCTTGGTTCGAGATGAAAGGAAGAAAATATGGCGGGAGGGGTGAATGCTAATTTGTAACACGGCTGTTCACATTGTGTTCTTAATTATTAACAGCTGTAAGCACGCAGAACCATGAGGTTTCCAACTTATTTTTTATTATTGGTTATTGTCACCTAAAATTATGAGAATAAATCAATTTTTATAGCATAAAATTTTAACAAGATAATATATTGTTAATGCTTTTCTAACAATAACCTTTCAGAGGATGGCAGGTGTGACAGAAATAGATGATTAAATTGAAATAAAAATATAATATTGATTACCTAAGATGACAGAATAGTTCGATGCATCCCCATGGTCATCAAAATTAGCAAACCACTGCTGGTGTAAGGCATATATTGTTTTCTGTGCTACCTTGGAATTTAAGACAAATTTTTTTCTGTATATTACGTTTAACCTGTTAATTTCAGTATATTAATACTACCTTATATTTTTTAATGAATTTTTATTTCCGCTATAAATGCTTATATATTGTCTTATCCTTAATATATTCTTTTCTGTGCTAACTTGAATTTAATACAAATTTATTTTTGCATATCACATTTAAACGGTTAGTTTGACATCTACATGCCTATTATCTGTGAATTTTTACTACCATATGCTTAATATATTGTTTTGTCTGCTAACTTGAATTTGCATGCACTAAAAATCATGTTTACGGCTCGGCTCGAGCTTGGTGAGCTAAAATGCAACGGTGCCAAAGGGTTCTTTCCTGAAGTGCCAACAGGTTCTCTGTGGATGAAAACTCTAAATTTTCAAAAACATTTAATTAATTACTTTTTTATTTAAATATTTTAGGGTAGAAACTTTTTACATTTATCAAAAACCAAAATGAAAGTCATTTCAGTAAAAATAATAAAAATAAGCAATGAAATTTCTGAATATAATTCAATGTTCCTTAATTAAAAATCATGAAAAAATCAGTACTTAAATACTGCTGCAGCTTAAATATTACTGTAGCTTGTCTAAACTGAAGTTATTTTAACTTAGATTACATTACAATATTTACAAAATGGTTAATTTTATATCATTTCAATTTAAAATAAAATTAAAAAAAAAAACATTCAACTATCAAAAAACTGGAAACACTCTACAATTCCATCACCTATTTAGTTAACCACATAAAGAAGTCTTAAAGCCGAGTAAAAGGCTCTGGTGTGCCCAATATTGAGCACTTGTCCAATCTTGTGCATTATCTTTCTTATCAGTATGGATATGCATATGCGATTTCAAATAAGCTTTCTGTGAAAATGATTTACTACATACATCACATTTAAATGGTTTCTCACCAGTGTGAGTACGCATATGTAAAGTTAAGTAACTTTTACACGCGAATGTCTTATCACATATATTACACTGATGCGTTTTCTCACCAGAATGAATAAGCTTATGCTGCTTTAAATGGCATTTGCGAGCAAAGGACTTAAGACAAATGTCGCATTCGAATGGCTTCTCACCACTGTGGATAAGCATGTGACGCTCAAGGTGACCTTTCTGTGAAAAGGACTTATTGCATGTATTGCATTCATATGGCTTCACATTGGTGTGAGCAAGCATGTGCACCCTTAACTGACTCTTTAGTTTAAATGACTTGCTACATATATTACATGCATGTAATTTCTCACCCCCAAGTTTGTCATCCTCATGGATAATCATGTGCTTGTTTAAGTAATTTCTCGTCGAAAACGACTCATTGCATACATCACATGCATGTGGTTTTTCTCCAGTGTGAATACGCATGTGCCCTCTTAAGTGAGTTTTTCGAGCAAACGATTTACTGCATATTACACAGGCATGTGGTTTCTCACCTGTGTGTGTCAGCATGTGTGCTGTTAAGTCATTTTTGACTGCAAATGCCTTGATGCACATACCACATTTATGCGGTCTTTCTCCAGTATGTGAAAACATGTGAATTTTTAAGTGATGTTTCCAGACATACGATTTGCTGCATAGTTCACATTTGTGAGGTTTCTCACCAGTGTGGATAAACAGATGATTTTTTAATGCACTTTTGCTTGCAACAGATATGCTGCATATTTCACATTTATATGGCTTCTCACCAGTGTGGAAAAATGCATGTTTTTTTAATGCACTCACCTGTGCAAAGGGTTTGCTACACACAAAACATTTATATGGTTTCTCATCTCTGTTGCTATGCATGTTTTCCGAAGTTAATATTTATAGAAAAATGACTTATATATACAATATAATAGTTGCTTCTTCAATTCACTAATTGCATATGCATCACACACTGTTTGATTCGCTACAAAGAACTTCTCTATATAATAAAACGATGATGTACCTTGCAGATACATCGCTAATACAAATATATATATACTTTATTGTAGTTTTCTGTTATAAATATTAATAGTGGCTGGCTACCAGACACTTACATAAGTATCCATATACTTCTTAATCATATGTTTTCTATATTCTATGGATCTGTTATTTACTTCGCATTAGTCATTTATGGAAGTACGCATTTTTCAATACTTCATGCATATACATAAAAGGATTCAATTTTCTCACGCATTGAGAATCAGATTGCTTCTATACAGCTCTTGACTTGTCGGAACTTTTCAGAAATATTACTAACACGCAGAAACTGATTATTTACGACATTTTCAGGGCCTACATTTTACCACTTGTACGGTGAATATATGATATATAACTTTTCGATCATCTTTTACGTTGATTGGATGCACTAATGGAAGTTTTCACCAAAAATATTTCATATAAACTTCACACTCGTACAAAGCTCACTTTCATGGTAAAATCATAACAATCACGGCCAACTGCCACCACTCACCATAACAAAGGGAACAAGTGAATGTCTTATTTTGCACCTCTAAAGTCTTTTTTACTATAGTATGCACAAAAATGTATATTTTATGTTATCAAATTTTAAGAATGCTTATATTTTTAAAAACGGCTTTAAATATTCCGCGCAGGGGCAGAATGAATATTCCGTGGTCTTATGTTAAATCAAAGACATTAATATAAAGACATGCATAGATATTAATGTCAAAATCTATAATACTGCTTACTTAGAAACACGGCTTCTCTAAGTTTACTTTTTGGAGTAATTAAAACACGAACTGATAAATTAGTTGATAATTACTCACCTTATTAATGAATTAAAAAAATAGCTCTAATTAATAGCAGTTTTTTCCAATAAAAATTATCATTACTAGAAAAATATTTAAAAAGTAATCATCGAATAAAAGATTCTCACAGCAAATGAAATTAGAAATCTGAGTGTATATGCATAAAATTATATAATTTATTCATAGAGGAGATTAAGCATATTTGTATGATTTGTTTTCATTTTATTCCACAAGCTATAAAAGCTCAGATTCCTCTATTTTTTTATTGTCCACACTGGTGAGATACCTCACAAATGTGAATTATGCAGAAAATCATACATCTGGAAACATCCTTTAAAATTTCACATACTGGAGAAAGATCGCATGAATGTGGTACGTGCATGATTTATCTCCTAAGTAATAAGGTCGCCGCTTTTTCAGATGGCCCAGACTTTCCTTTTACTTTCGATAGGCAGACGCTTGTCATCGATAATGAAATGGCCGTCGTTTATCGATTACGAAGGTGTCTACGGCGGCTGTGTCTACCCGTACGACGTCGGACGTTTAGCTGAAACATGGTAAAAATGCTAAACGTACGACTAGTTGCGCAGAGACACTTTCGTGATTTCTGCGCATTCCGACCAGTCGTAAAGAGATGTTTGTTTACATTTGTGTTGATTATCGGAAGGGTGAATTGCTTTTCCGTGTAGTGCTAGAATGTCAAGAAAAAGTTATTTTTTATTTCGTTTGATGACTAATTACTATCATTCTTGATAGATATCTAAAACATTATATAAAATAAAGAACTTTGAATATATCTGAATATTATTCTTGTTTTAAATTGCTAATGTTTGATCATTTTATACTGATGCGGAGTTTACACAAATAATCAAAATTTCTTGAAATTCTTATCAACAGATTTAAATAAATCATGCATGCAAGCAGTAAAATCACATTCTTATGAAACGGAAATTGAAAAATCGTCTTAAAACCTTGTGTAATTTTTCTGTCATGCGTAGCTAAATATTTCTATAAAATTGCATACAGAAGCATTTATATACATAAAGAGTGTGTTCAGGAGATTAATTCAGAAATGTATGTGCATATGCTTGTATGTACGGATGTAGGTGTTCATGTAGCATATGTATATGTGTGTACATACGTTTGTGTGTGTGTGCACAGATATACATGCATACATACATTTTTGAGTCTGGTCTCGAAAAATGTCTTGCTGAAAAAGAATGTAAACAAACCACCCAGCTCCTTAAAAAAAAAAAAGTTTAGAAATTTTTTATCATAATTTTGGTTTCTACAGCAAACTTTTGTGTGTGGGTTTGTTTTAAACTCTTAGAAGAACTCAAATTTTAATATAAAGACGTGAAAATTTTTTACCTTTTGATAGTGTACCTGATGATTTATTAAAAACACAATTGACTCTCTTATATTTAATATTGAAAAGAAGGAGGGGGATATGTACAAAATTATAATAAAGATAATTCTAAGGTATTTTTTATAAATATATGTGACTTCTGAATATAGAAAATAATCGCTTACAAATGACTTATGCAGTATTTGTTTTTATTATCATATCCTGCCTCCATAAGCTCAAAAATAAAACTTTATACAGGAAAGTCATTTTACCTCCAAATATATTTTATGGTATTGAAGTATGATAACAGATGATTATTTTTGTTAGAAAAATTATAATGTTATGAATATTTTCCTGAAGATAATTATACATTATATTCAAGCATATTTATATATTAATATTATATATTTATATTCAAGTAATAGATGACATATTTATATATTCTATTTAAAAATAAATGGCAGCACTATGTCTTATCATTAACTTTATCAAAAGAACTTATAGGTTTAAAGCACCGAATTTCTAGTATAAGAACTGTACTTCAAATGTCCTTTTCTTTTCCCTTTTTTTTTTTTTTTTTTCCTGTAAGAGTTTTGCTTTATAATATTTACAGATGTGACATCTAAAAATGCTTGGCCTTTTTATCCAAATATCTAAATATGGAAGTCTGAAATAATGCAATATATTTGTATGTATATAGAGTAAAATATTAGTAAATTCTACATAACTACATTATTATTCTAAGATAATGTAATAAAAATATTCAGTTTAATGCAAATATGTGAATCAATTTATACATATAAATTTTAAGTGTATGACTTCTGTTGGATGTTTTAAGTAAACAATCAAAAAAATTAACCTTTTTATCAACTTATCTTGCACATATATACATTATTACTTTTTTTTCCTATAAGAATAAACTTAATCTAATATAATAATCTAAAAATAAATAATACACAACATCTATTAAGGCAGACCATTTTTAGTACAGTAACAAATAATACAAGCAATATAATTTAATACTTTCAGTTGTCAGAGAATGAAGTGAGTTTTGTGAAGCTATTTAATGAAAAAATCTGAAAACAATTTTTGATGGTTCTAAAATACAAGTTCTAAAAGAATTAAAATATGTACATGAGATAAATGCCGCTCTTTTTGTTTTAACCCCTTTGAATAAATTTTAACCAATTTGATACTTTTTTTACTTCTTTTCAAAACCTTGAAATACATGAGAAACTGATTTCAGGACCAACACATTTCAAGAAATATTGCTAACTGCAATGAATCAGCACACATGTATGACTTCATCAGAACCATCAGAATGTCTTGTATTACCTTTATTTATTTATTTAAAGTTACTAATGGATTTATATGTAGAAGAGCTGAGATTTCTAATACAGTTACCACACTGGCATTTTTAATGATCTTTTCACTAATGATTTAAAATCTCTATATTTTTTTATTATTTTTCAAATGAAAAGTTTTTGTTCATTTGTTTCCAAAATAACAGCTACTTCCTTAGTTCAATTATTATTTTTCTTAACTGGTTTGTCTGGTGAACTCCTGTGATTTTTTTTTTTTTTTTTTTTTTTTTTTTTTTGTGAATACATTAATTCTGTAATTTGTTGTTTTCAGTTTTTTAATTTCTCTTTTGAAAAGTTTTCTGCATTTTAACTTAATAGCCTTGAAACTTATGATCAACATTCAAAATCTAACTTCCATTTTAAATTTCAATGTTTACCTGGATTCATAACAAGTGTATTATTTTTAAATTATTCAGACAACTTAAGAGCTCTGTGTCTTACATCTTCATAATGGTAGAAAATTTCATTGTACAGCCTATGTACATTTTAGTTTTGTCATGTCATGCCATTTGTGAAATATTCCTTCTCTCTGCTTAATTTTATTCCATATATAGAGAGATATTCAGTAAGTTTAAGCATAATAAATTTGTAGAAGATAAATGTCTAAAATTCCATTTTCAGTTTCCTATGTAGACTTAAATGCATTTAGTACAGCAATCAATTACGCATTGAATTCCAATATAAAAATATTTTTTATCACAGCCTTCAGATCATTCCTGAACATCATTCAAATCATCATCAGACTGCAGTATGAAATATACAAATACTTCTTCTGTTTTTGAAACAAAAAAGAAATCATTTGACAAGGTCTAGTGAACATTGTGCATAGGGTATAAGCTGAAATTATCATTCCTGGAACAGCAATCTGGCAAATTTTAGTCTTGTGTGCTGCAGCGTTTTTATGCATAGCGGAATTTTACTGCTGAGTTTGCTACACAGTTTTATAGTTAATAGGAATTGTATTGGATTATTACGTCAAAAAAATGTGAGAACTATCTGTCTAAGAGAAGATATGCCTTTTCAAAGGAACAATATAAGGAAAACTGGCTCTGATTCACTTTATACATGAGGAAAACAGCAAAATCTCCTCTGGAGCCAGCCTATTCGTCAAGATAAAACTCTGAGCGAATTACTAGCATTCAGCGGATTTACCTCTCGGCCGCTGGTGGGCCTAGTACAAGTTGAGTCAACAGGTTAGCGTAATAAACACCTTTTATCATGATATTATGTGACCTATAATCTATAAGCAATGCTCTTCATAAAAAATGTTAATTCTGTTTGCTTTCTGGATTCTGAACTTAGCTCTTGTTTATCTATTCTCTTGTTTTGAGATCTGCTCATCAAAACAGAGCAGCAGGTCAATTAAAGAAGGATATGCATGCAGTGCAATCATCTTCAGTACGATCTCAAGTCATAGTCACGTCTTTAATCCACCTAAAATCCAGTCCCAGTACTTCTCACTATTTGAGCAAAAGTATAATTCCTGTTGGAGTCTAAATTAAGATGAGCTCCGGTATTTCAATTTTCTACTGAACTATTTTCATTAATTAAATTGAATTATCTAATTTTATTTATTAATTTACATTTTATTTTTATTTTTTCTTTATTTTTATCTTTGTTGACGACCTTTCATAGTCCTTCTTCTTTTAGAAATTAAGTACTGACCACAATGCATTGAGGCATAAAATTGAACAGGCACTCGTATAATCCTATGGCAAAACATTCCACACTTGCTAGATAATGTGTTTCATATTGAGGACATCGAAGCACTGAGCCTACGCAGGCCAGATAGAGCTTAAGTCACATTATTTTGATCACTGCAAAGCACGCAAGGGCTTTCTGCCTAAGAACAGGGATGCTTTTGTGGAGCACTTTTTAAAGGTTCGATTTGGTTTGTTTGATTTTAGAAAAGCACTTGAGGGCTATTTGTCTAAAGAAGAGCAAAGATTCTTGATGGCTTCATGATGGACTTTTCGAAGAAAACTAGCTGGCATTCACATTGCGCAAGAG